AAACTGATATTAGTCTATTAACTTTCTTACATAAAACTTAATCCTAAAGAGAATTTGGTCACTGATTTCCCATTTAATATCACGTACCAAGTATATTTCATAGCTACAGACCCTTGCATATATACAAAGTATATGATTTCCATAGCAAACATTCCTAGTTCCCCTTATGGGTTGAAATCCATAGAATATTTTATATTAAAAAACAAGGGGTTATGGGTGATTTGGGTCAACTCAGCCAATTAAAAAATGGTAGCGATGTACTATTTGGGCTTAAGAGTGTGAGCTATGAGCCAGGAAGCTGACCCAATATATGTCTTTAACCATTCTCACCCATCCTCAGATGCTGTCTGCAATACACACAGGTTTCAGGGTCAGTTCCCATCACTTCCATGTAGGACTGGGAAATACACCTTTCTGAAACCTTAGAGAGCTCCTGCCTGCCAGGGTAGACAATACTGAGCTAGATTATATTGGACCAGTTGTCTGACTCATTCTAAGCGAGAGTTTCCCACAGTCTATATGGGGGTGTATCATCTAAGAAGCCTGTTCTCTCCCTGCATCCCACCCTGGTCACTTAGATCTCTGAATGATGATGCCACATGTCCCTGCAGCAAACCTTTTAGTACTGGAGCGTCTGGTCTCTGGCATTCTCTTCTCTTTGAAGTGAAAGCCAGGCCCAGCATGGTTTCTCCCAAGGAGTCTATTTTGTTTCTGCTGCTTTTAATTCTTATTGGTTTAAATATCATTTTTATGCTCTGTATTTTGGTTATGGTCTGTCCTAGTCTGAATGTAGAGCAGTTTATAAATCCTGAAAATGAATAATGTCCTGCTCTAAATGTTAGGATTACTATAGAATGACCCAGTTTTGAATGCTAAAAAACAAACTGCTGTGCAAATGCTACACATTATTTTTTAAGTAGCTTAAGTTGGAGAGTTCATCCTGCATGTTATGCAAGGACCAATAAGCCACATGATCTCTAGCCTGTAAAAAAATAGTCAATAGGCAAGGATGCTTTTGCAACATTCAGGCCATCAATGCGCCAAAGGCAGCTATTCACATCTGTGTCTATGTGTGGACAGAATATATTTGCTATTAGGTACTAGGAAAAGGTAAAGGACCCCTGGACGGTTAAGTCCAGTCAAAGGTGACTATGGGGCATGGTGCTCATCTTGTTTCAGGCCGAGAGAGCCAGCGTTTGTGCACAGACATGTGTGGCCAGCATGACTAAACCGCTTCTGGTGCACAAAGGACTGTGACGAGTCCCACCACAGTGGTACCTATTTATCTACTTGCATTGGTATACTTTCAAACTGCTAGTTTGGCAGAAGCTGGGACAGAGCAATGGGAGCTCACCCCGTCACGGGGATTCGAACCGCCAACTTTCTGATTTGCAAGCCCAAGAGGCTCAGTGGTTGGGGGGGCGGGGGTGGGGTGTGGAATAAAAAGCTCCACACACAGCTCTGCCTCTACGGAACATTTATGCAAAATGAAAGTCTCCAAAATGTGAAAACATCAAGCCGTGCACTGGAGCATAGCAAGAATAGGAGTCGAATGTCATGCTAAGCACAGCACTAAATATGGTTCACTGCAAAAATCAAAGGCTGAAGGGCAGCAGGCAGTTGCTAAGGTAGCTAAGTGTTCCTCACTGACCTGCCAGTTCAGATTTTGTGAATGCAGCCACCAGTTCTTTCCAGTCAATTCAACACAGGTAAACATAGTGAACAACCATCCGTTCACTTAAACCTCTCACCTCCCTCCAATGTGACGAAAGGCACAGTGTTTCATTTCATACATGGTTATTTCTTTTTTTAATGGCAAAACTAACTGCTAGTCGACTTCTTTGGATGACCTCAGATGGCACCAGCTGGAGGAAAATTCTCTTCTGCTACAAGAGATTTAGCATGTCACAGCTTGAGACCCTCCGAGGAAAAGGTGTAAAGTTCTAAAGTAAAGCAAAGTTCCATTTAGCACTTTGAAGCTTACCAAGCTAAAGGTTTATAGAAGTTCAGCCAAGAAAGAAACAATAGCCAGCAGCAGGGTTGCCAGCTGCACTTTATTTTGGAGAACTGGCCTTTATTCCATAAAGGGAAGTTCTCTTTCTGCACATAACTGTGGCATTATGGGGGAAGTATTGCTTCTTTTCTCTGGCATTCTGGGAAGTCTCGCTTATAATCTTTTCTCTGCTTCTGCACACACTGTGCTTCTGCACACCCTGTACAAACCTGTTCTAAACACCAAGACATTCCCTCATTCCTCAGTTCATCTTAAGTTCATGAACAAACAATATGATCTGTTCTTAATGCATAGCTGACCACATCTACGGAACTCGATTATTATATTCTTTCATGTTATGATCAATCATTAGTAATTGCTTTAGTCATGCTATATCAATCTTTAGTTATAATTTAATTAGGAGGCTTCATGCCTGTCTAGTTCCAGCTCCGTTTCCCAGCCTTTAATCTATCGGTGATTAATGTTTATATGTAATTCCCGCCTTGTACTTATGTTAACCAATCAGCAACAAGTTGCTTTGTGTTTGTATCAACCAATCAGCCACAAGCACACCTGTGGCAATGTTTGTAATATTCAATAAAAGAGAGTTCTCGGGGCTTGCCCCGGCAGACGCCTCTCATATGACACCTGCCACTTGTCTGTCGTGAATTCATTCCAACAATTCCATGCTAGTTAAACAGAAAGTGTAGGAATGTTTCTATATTCCATGGATCCTGGGGAGACACAGTGCGCCCCACCCTTTCCCTAGGGGTCATTTCCTTCTATTTTACTGTTGAGATTAATGAAGTTATTATGAACTGGTTTGTATGAGTGGGCTTGTTTTTTGTAGTTCTATTTTGCTGAATTGAACTTTAAGGGATTGCCATTTAATACCTTGGCATTTACATACTACTGCCTTATGATTTATTGCATTATTTTATGATTTTGTATTTTGGTACATTTTGTCAGTTTGGATGTAAACTGCCTTGAACATAATATTAAAACTATATAAATAAAAGAGTCGTTGACATTACAGACACGTAGATTTTGTGATTATAATGTTGCTCCCTTGCAGAAGAATTATTCAAATTTGTGGGAGAAAATAAAGAAATGCCCTTGGGAACACTGACAAAGACAAGGAGCAGGATTTGCTCCCTTTCAGCTGGTGGGAAGGTAGAGGAGCAATTCTAAAATGATGTGCTTGTGGGCTCCAACGCCCATCAGCTGCAGCCGGCATAGCTAACGTCAGGATTGATAGGAGACATGTAATCCAGCAACATCTGAAAGGTCACATGCCCCCCCCCCCCGTAGCTGCAGAAGGGAATCCCTGTACGGCATCAGCCCTCCACCCCTCCGCTAATATATGGACAGTGCAGCTGAAGATATAGCAGTCACAGGGAAAGCCCAGCAGTAACTGCGTTTCTCAGTTTTTCTGGTCCTGCCCTCAAAATCCAGTTAACTGAACAAAGGAGAGGGCAGACAGCTGTGTGCCTACATCAAAGTTACATTTTATCCAGCAGCTGCATGGAGGATGCGCTCACAGTTCTGGGAGCTCAGAGAACACACATTGACTGTATTTCAGCTTAAGCACAATGTGTGCCTCCAATTTTAATCCAGAAATAAAACTGTTCAGTGGGCATCTAAAATTTGGTAACTATCCTAGAGTCTGCAGAACCACGTCCCACTAAGAGCTAACAGAGAATGTTGAAAACCAGATACATGTATTTTAACACACACACACTAATTATGTAATACTACCATTGAAGGATTTCCCTTGTTTCATCTGCTTTACAACTCAGTGGGAGATATAGCAGAAACAGGCTTGGATATAGGAAAGCCAAGGTCTAGTGGGCTGTTCTGTCTCTCTACTCCCCACTATTACAATTTTAAACAGATAAGGGTGGTCCTGGTCAAGTGATTTTTGATTTACATACCTCACAGGTTACTTTTTGAATCTAAAACGCGCCACTGTGCTCCTTGGATGAAGATTAAGAGACAGAACTATCCAAAATTAAGACGATAAAGCATTTTAACTCCATTCTTCAGCCAAAAAGGCTTCCAGAAGAGCTCCTAGACCTAAACACAGCAAATGATTGTTTGTTCAAACCAGAGTTTGCTAGTAAGTCCGGACATCAAACTAGGAACCCACATAGAAGCTAAGTCAGTAGAGCATGAGACTCTTAATCTCAGGGTCGTGGGTTCGAGCCTCACATCGGACAAAAGGTTCCTGTATTGCAGGGGGTTGGACTAAATGACCCTTGTGGTCCCTTCCACCTCTACAGTTCTCTGATTCTCTTGATAAGCAGCTCTAGAGATGGGCACAGCTTCAGGATTTGAAGGCTCCCACTCCACCAATTATTTCCTGAGCTTGATGCTGCAACAAACCACGTGCTGTTCCTAACCAACAATAGCTTTAAATCTCAATACTTCCTGCATGGAGGGGGATAAGAGAATTCACAATCCCACAACTCCTGCATGGAGTAACAAACCACAGTAGTTTGCTCCATCTGAACTGGGCAACTCTCATCATGAAGTAAAATGAAGAATGAAGAAACTGTTCTGAACTGGGGATTTTTTAAAAAAAGGAACTGGAGCAGCGTCTCCTTCTGCACCCCTATTTTAGACTGCTGTGTTCTTCAGTATTTAAAGTGTCAGGTGAGAAGCAATTAGAGGAAACGACACTTGAATTCCCATTATTCAAACTGTCTGACTAGATCCAATTTTGTTGTGGTACACAACACAGCCACAGCCTCATATCACAATAGTCTAATGTGAATAGAGTTTCTGTTTTTTTGCACGGCCGGACGATTCAGATAAGATGCTCCCAATGCTGTACTTGACTGGGCTATCTGCCCAAAAATCAACTTTGCACAGGTTCATGCTGAAAACAAGAGCTACCAAGTATTCAGTTACACAGTGCATGGCAAACACAATCTCCATATTTTACATGCAAACCTGAATGTTCACAAAGATAATTAAACATTTTAAAAGCAGGTAAAAACTTGTTCAGAGCCAGCTCAGTATTTAATGAATTTAAAATTCCAAATTTTTGGTCCCATTTATTTCAAATCCATATTGGCACAAATAAAAATTGATCACTATGTACACTAATTCTCTCGTAATACATTTTGATGGTTCCATTTTATATACTGGATACAGCTCGGAGCAAGCGTTAAAGTTATTTGATACTCAATAGATTACTGCAAAAGCTGAAGAAAATCCTTTTAACAGCATCAATATTAAATATATTTACCCGTCATCAATATTACAGATATATAATTCAATTATATTTATTGCATTTGGAATATGTTCGTGACAACATAAGTTATGGGGAAGAGGGGAATGCCAAACACTCATTTCAGTTCCGCAATCCTATTTTTACTAGAACTGAAATAAAATTTCAATGTAAACATCTTGAAATCAAATTTCAGCAATACAAACTTTTACCACTAATTCACATGACAAAACTTCCAGTTTCCAAGTCAAATTCCAAACTTTTGAAAGATTTCCATTAAATGTAACCCTTCTGGCATCATTAAAAGCAGTCTCAGTTATAAAATGAAAGAACTGCTCAGGAATAATTGTGGGCAGTCCGACAGCACTTGTTTCTTAATTCTCCTGGGACAATGACTGGGCAGTTTTGTGCCCAAGTTCATTTAACTGATGTTTAAGGGCATGTGCTTTGAGATGACACAAAACTGGCCAAGGATGGGTCCTTTTTTCAAATTTGTTTTGATGTTTGTGACATGGGGTGGGGGTGGGGCTTGGGGTGTAGCTCTTCTGGACAGTACAATTGTGCTTCATAATAATATATTGTACATCTTCAATATTTCTGCAGGCTTGGGCAGACCATCCAAGTTTTGGGAACTACCCATCCCTCCAAAAGCATGCCACGATCAACGGCTTTTGTAATCCTCATCTGCTGTCAAGCAAAACAAACTGGATCCTTGCGTTACTTGGCAATATGGACTCTATAGCAGTGCTGGGTCTTTGGAATGCTGTTACAGTAACAAGAGAAGCCCCAATACATGGAGGGAAAGCCCACGTTGTGGATCTTCCCTATATAAGTGTGAACATATTCTGCTTTGTCCAGAATGTCCCATGCTACTCTGACAGCAGAAGTAGCAGCAGCAGCACTGTTGTAGCTATTATGCCGAAGTATCATAATAATTCAATCAAAAATACAGTTTCTGCTCCAAGGAAATCAGGTTGTTGTTTTTGGCTAGAAAAAAGTAATACACCACCCAAATATGTGAATGTATTTATTGCATACAAGATCAATAGTTTGGTCTGAAAGTGGCCAAATTTCTGTAGGTTGTTGTTTTTTGTTGGTTTTTTTTTTGCATAAGTAATGTACAGGAAAAGGAATATAACTGGAAGCAATGAGCTGTGCACAGACTCACCGATTACCACACATTACAGCCTTCTCCAGTTAAACAACTGCTTATTGTTATGGGATGCTTACCCCTAGAACACAATTTCCCCATTCAGAAGAGCTCCCCTATTCATTTCAATGGAGGGCTCAATTTGCATTTTTGAGTGCACAAAGATCTGTCGATTGGTAAAAACTGCCTGTAAACATATATCCATTATTGTGTGAAGTAGAAACTTGTAGAAAGCAAGCCAATGTTCTCAGAAATTCTGTATCTAAGATTCTGTGTGAATTTCAGTGCACAGAATTGTAAAAGCTGAGCAGCCCTGATTGATTCTTCTTCAACTGTCTTTTCAAACCATTTGAGATGTGCTTTCAAATAAATGGTTAACTTATATCCTTAAATTCTCCACCAGTTAATTTCTCACTCTAGTTCTAAAAAAGTGAACTTCTTAAAAAAACACAACTCAAAATGTGAGCTAAAACAAAACTTTTTTTAAAAAAATCAATGATTTAAAACTAGGTTTATAATTTCCTATTTATTGGCATGAATGTTTTTCTAAACTTAAAAACCCTTCTGTAAGTTATCAATTTTTATGACAAAATTTCTCACAACACACAAATATTTACAACATATACATTTTTTCAGTCCTTTACACTGGATCTCAAAAGACAAACATTTTTATAGATCACCACAGAACAAAAGCTGTGACTTAGGTTTTTTTCTTTTAAATTTCATAAAACTATCATAAGTTAAAGTGAATAGGTTTCTTTAAATTCCTTGTAGCATTTTACAAGTGCAACAGAAAACTATGAGGATCCAATTCGGATAGCTGCAGTTCATTGGATAAATGTTGCCTGTTGTAATCACATTGTTTCACAGCAAGTTCTTGAAAAAATAAGCACCAATCATTCTTGCAAAGAACAATTTTATCTAAAAGTATCGAAAAAGTGTTAAATACAAGGTGTTTTAATTTACATAACAAGAAATAAATACACCATATCCAAACTTGGTATTCTGCATACTGCTACCTTTGTACATATAATGTACTAAAAGTCAGCAAACTGTCAACACCTTTTTTTTTTTTTAAAGAAATCAATTTGACTTCAAACCAACGGTTTGCTACTATAACAAAGGCCACAAACAGTACGTCTGGGGACAGCATACAGTGTTAAAACTGACAAACTCCAAGGGGGAAAACATCTAGCAAATAAACTGAAAAGCTTTAGTTCATTGCTGGTGATATTAACATACTAGAAAACCTTAAATAGGCTGCTACTATGATTTTTTTTTAAGATTGTTTAGTCAGATGTAAGAGCAAAATAATGCTCTCACGGATTAAAAATAATTGTGAAGCCACATTATTGTGATTTAATTAACCTGCATGGAAACATTTGATGGCATTTTTGTAATTTTGCTTGAGCCTTTATTTTACAATAGAGCATTTTTCTAACTTAGAATTGCACATAAGAAGGCTATTAAAAAGTACAATAAAAATCTGCACAAATGACTTAAGGAGTCAGTATGCTGTACACTTTCTACAATATTATGTTGATATAAGTGAATAAACAATAAAGAAGTGCTTCCACTAACATTTTCAGAAAGTTCATCAGTTGAGGAATAATTAATTGGAATTTTGTTTTTTAAAAAATGGACATCCTGTTCAGTTTAAGACCTGTAAGCTTATGCATTGAGCCTTAAAGACTGATCTTCTCGTCTCCTGGAAGAAATGTCAATATCTATTGAATCCTTGCCGACTATAAGCCTTAATCGCTTAGCTGGAGGCAGAGGAATAAAATCATCTTCAAAATCATCATCATACTCATCCTCTTCCTCCTCCTCTTCCTCTGCAGATGAAGAATCATCTACAGTTTCTTCTTCATATTGACTATAATCATCCACTTCCATTCGTGACTCTAACAGAGAAAGAGTATCACTACAACATACCCCGTTCTCATGGAGGTCATCAGAATATGTTCCCCTGTTTTCTTCTTCTCGCTTTAGCTGTATTTTTAATTTTGTTGAACTACTACTTGATCCTGAGTTAAACCCATTATTAAGCTTTGCTACATATAGATTATTATCTTTTTCATGGTCTTTACTAAGTTTGATGCTTATTTTTGAAGAACTCATGCCATCATCTTCTTGGTCGTTTGTCTTGCTGTTGCTATCATGCCGCCTCCGAAGGGTCAGTTTGGGAATCCCAGAGCTGTTTTCAAGGATTAGTTGTGCATCATACCGTGTGATTCGCCTTTTCTTTTTGCTTTTTGCAGTTCTAAAACGGTCCTTTACTTTGAAAGTGTCCGAAGTCACAATGGAGCAGCCACCGGAAGAAGGGATGCAGTCTTTATAGCCAATGGCTGAATCCACTACATTGTTCATCTCTCCTAGGTCAGAACGGGAACTGATCAAATCTGGCACTTTGTCCTTGCCAGACAAGTTGTGTGCAGGATCAGTTTCCTCCGTTTTCAAAGATGGCTTCACCAGTCTTCCTTGTCGGGATTTCTTTTTGGCCACAACCCTGTCACTCTTCTGACACCTACCCTCCCGCTTGTGTGATGTCCCATGAGCCTGCTCACTCTCGTGCATCACAAGAGACTGCTCCTCCAAGCTATCGGTTCTCATGCCAGTCAAATTGTTTTTATAGCTATTCAGCATATTTGGTTCAAGCTTTAAGTCAGAGGTCTCCTTCAGATTCATTCGTGTTCTCATCGACCTCCTTGTTATATACGTACAGGGTGATATTTCCCCAGGTTCATGAGCACCTTTCACTGAATTTAGTTTATATTCTCGTGCTGCATGCCTCGTTAAGCAGCCCCCAGAGACAGCAACTTTTACTGGTCCCTCTGTGTCTTTTTCTTTCTTAATGGGCAAGTTTTTATACAAGACGATTTTAGGCTCTTTCAGAACCAAGTTTCCCATTTCGAGTTTTCGAGATGCATGTTTCTGCTCTGGCCTTTTGCACTGGTTTCGTAATTTTATCTTTGAAAGTAAAGGCTTTGCAGGCTTTTTCAATCTCTTTGGTACCCTGGAATTATTTAGATGAGTTAGTCTGGATGAGGTAGAATTTGATGAAGCTGGAATTCTTGAAATAGACTGCCTTGTTAATGTTCTACTCTTACTGCTCTTTTTTACACCAATAGATTTGCGGTTAGCTGAAAGAGTAAACAGAATAAAGTTAGGTTTTATTTCAAAGTTATTTCTCACGCCTGATTGCTAGCATGTAGTAATAACATTTCCTCTGAACCTAAACAGGGGCTCTATTATATGTACATACAGCACACAGTGTTGAAGTTTAGCTAAATCAAAAACTGTCCACAGAAAGTCACTGAATACTGCCTATGCAGACCTTTAAAAATATGGTTAAAATATTAATGAATAGTGATTAAAAATCACTAGCAAATCTATCCAAGAGAGTATAAGACATACATCTGCTATTTCTAAGCCACATTTGTAATTTTGGCTCCTAACCCAAGTTATTCACCAATAATTTACATTAGTATAATCCTACTAACTATAAAAAGTACTGTACCAGTAATCACAAACTAACCACATACAATCTGTTCAGTTCTCCTTAAGCACTGAAAAGAGAGAGCCATAAGAATTCCCGTTTTACTATGCACTTATTTCTTTTTAATGGACTATAATTACTTTAGGATACCACATTGTCTGTGTTCTGCCTGTGGATAAAACACAAGATCTGTCTGCTCATGGAGATTTTTTTTAAAAAAAGAACAAGTTTCTGGGCTTATCTACACTCATCGTGTTTCATTGTTAGGATGCCTGTAATTTCATACTGGAAAAAGCTATCCTTATGTCTTTCTTGTGTCTAAGGCTCCAAGAATTCTGTCCGCTTCTCAGTTGTCAACAGTGATTTAGCAGAGGGTTAGCAAACATGATGTCCATTAGATGTTATTGGACTACAACTCCCACCATCCTAGAGCACTGGCCACACTGATGGGAATTGTAGTCCAAGAAAAACTAGAAAGTACCACGTTGGTTATCCCTGATTTATCATGACAGCAACAGTTTCATGGCTCTGAACAAATTTAAATTTCTGACCCTCTATGATTCACATATTATGATCATTTATTGCCAGACAATGAAAGCAAACTGAATGGTTATTTAAGTGACAGGCAAAGAGTATAATTAGAAATGTTACCAAAATAGCTGACATTTGTAAAGATAAAGGTTTTTTTCCTACTCAACTTGCTAACTTAACACCAAGTCAAAAACTGCTCTGTAATTTTTAACGATTATTTATAACTGATAATTATAACGATAGGGAAAACCCTTTTAGTACAAACTGTTAGTCATTTTATTACATTTTGAGGCATTGATTATATATATCCTGGAACCCTCTGCTCTAAGTACTCACATAAATTTTCAGAGGCCTAACAGCACGTTATACTTATGAACAGAATCTACCCCCAACCCTTGACTTCTGAATGAAAAAAGTTCTAATGAAAAGCCCAAATTGTGTCTTCTTATAGGACAAGCATAGAAAAAAGACCTTTAAAAAGTTAGCTCCCCTTGCTTACTTGCATGAGCTTTTTCCTGAGTGGTATCTGCATCAGTGTTAGAGCTGACAGACTGGCTGTCTGAATTTTTGCTGCTGTCACCCAACTTTTTAAGCCTGTTTAAACGTTTATCTGTTTCTCTGAGTCCATATTTGCTATTGATTACAGGAGCAGGAGCAGGCAGTCCCACTCTTGATTTAAAAGCACCAGTTCCACGTCTAGAAAAGAGAATAGAACATGTTAATAACTCCAGCATAGCAATAATAAAAAAGGCTTTCAGATGAAACAGTATTCTGAATCCCATGTCAATACCACATACTTAGACAAATCTGAGCTCATGCAAACATTTCAACATTGTCAGCATTCCACTACTACAATTTTGAAGGAATTACTGGTACTTGAAGTAAAAAATACAGGAAATGATTCTTCATACTTTTCTGAAATTATTTCCCCTTTCTTTAAACATATAAATCTCAAGAGAATACACTATATCTATCAAGGCCTGCTAAATATGAAATTGGAACCAATGCTTGTCCTTGATGTGAATCTGCAACTAGTGCAACAATGTTAGCATGAACAATCTAGTTACACCTAAATGAGACCACCTGGAAACCCTATGTACCTGAAGATTCTTGTATGAAATTAAATAAAAGGAGCCGTTACATGTTAGCTCCTTTCCCTAGATGTCAATATCACCCCACATTGTAGTAGAATACTCTTTCATCCTACTTGTGTTTCTATAAATGAATGTGGACACCAGGAGATGTGTACATTTGCATGCCAGAGGTAAAGAAAAACATTTCCAAAAAATTTCCCCCCCAAAACAACAGGCTTTTTTTAAGCTTCCATTTCAAAGTAAGTATTTATAGAGGACAATACAGTAATGACATAGTATCAAAGAATATAATCAAAATTACTTTTCATATGAAAAAGAGGTTTCTGCTCTTTGTGCATGAAGGTATGCACAGGTATGCACATCCTTGGGGAAGCTAATGCATAAAGGGAAACAGAATTTTCTAAACTCTGGATGATGGCGTTGAGTAGGAATATTCATACCTTCATTTTTTAAAAAGCAACATGGCTTCTTAACAACACCTTGAACATATACTGAATAATTCAAGCAAATTTTAATACCATCTTCTTTATTTCCAAGCTCTGGATGATAATGTTGAGTAGGAAAGTTCATATCTTTATTTTACTATGAGCAACTTTATAAAATACAGAAATGCCTGTTTCTCTGTGAAGTTTCCTTTTACCCAGGATCCACAATTTGATTTTTTGACCACATGCATATACATGCATTACTATCTTCTGTCTGATAGTGTGGGATGTGCCTACTACCAGTCCTTTGTTCATTATCTGTGGTCCTAATCTCTCAGCTGTATGTAGTGATACCAAGTGATGGTGCTAGGATGTGCCTGGGTAGGCAGGTAGCAGAGAGCTATGAAGATGCTGTCCCAGTATCAATGATGGTGGGCAAGGAAAGGTATAGTTGGAGTGGAAAGGTTGTTCATCTGTGGCAGAGGCCTAGATGTTTGGTCCCTGCCCCCCATTTTAGCCCTCCCACTCCTCTAGAAGCTACTGGTAGTTTATCCATTGAGCCCACTGATCTAGTGGTGCAGTTACTGAACTCCAGGTCAGTCCATAGTAAGACCATGTTCATTCATTACTTGATCATGTATGAAGGGGCTGTTTTGGCAAATATTACCAAGACTTGGCTGAGTGAGCTAGGTGGGTCTGACCTGTCTCAGCTCTGCCCATTTGGGTACCCTGTACAGAACCAGGCTAGACTCCTTTAGCAGAAAACGTCTTTATCTTGGAATGGACTTAAGAGGGTCTGGGCCCTGGCGTTGGGCCAGAGAGCTCAACTGGGGTTGCTGCTGGTTTACTGACCACTCTATTGCCCAGTAGTACTTTCAGTGCCGACTTAAAACATTTTGTTCAGGCGAGCCTGGACAGACATGTAGATGTTCACATGTTTACTGTCCTTTACTGTTAAATTACTACAATCAAGCGGTATACAAATGTTGTTAGGCTTCCAAGCTTTCCAGTACTATGTGCACATCGTCAAACACAGCTCTCACATTTCACGAAAGATAGTATGATACACACAGTGGCACTTCCTGCAGCATGTGAAGTGGCCCCAGAGAAACAACAGTTTATGTAGCTCAGAGCAAAAATTGTAGAGGAAGCACACTGGGGCATATTTCCCCCCCTAAATTGCAGTTTCCTCTCTTAATGTGTGCTAGTGATGAAGATAAAGAAAGAAAAGGCAACTACAGCTAAATCATCATAGTGAAAATAGTGTGAAATCAGAATCAAAATTTTCAAGCAGCAGTGGTGGGTTTTTTGGGATTTTTTTTTTTACTTTAACTGAACCAAGGGATCTTAAACTACCTCTGCAACTAAAGTCCAGCTCCAAAGGCCTTCTGGCCGTTTCATCACTGCAAGATGTGAAGTTACACGGATCCAGGCAGAGTGCCTTCTTGGTAGTGGTGCCTGCCCTGTGGAATGCCCTCCCATCAGGTGTCAAGGAGATAAACAACTATGTGTGAAGGCAGCCCTGTATAGGGAAGTTTTAAATGTGTGATGTCTCATTGTGTTTTTATATTTTGTTGGAAGCCGTCCAGAATGGCTGGGGCAACCCAGTCAGATGAGTGGGGTACAAATAATAAAATTATTAGTATTAAGTTGAAAAATGGTACACTGTAACTTATTTATTTAATGGACACACAACATTATAGAATAATAAGGAATTGGGTAAAACAAGAGCATTGCTCAAGTATGATTTAATTTAATGTGTGGGGCATGCAAAGATTCAAATAACTGTACACTGAAGGGGGCAAAGTTTCAATTCTATGCAAATTCAATACTACATTGCATGGAAAATCTGGAGAGCTGTGGAGCTTGTTTGCAAATGAGGTTTCCAAAGCTGTCTGTGCAACATGGCATTAGGATCAGCTCTTCTATGTTAAAAGTAAAAATTCCACTTGGCTAACAGAAGCTCCTGACGCGAGCTTGAACAGCTCTTTTGATCCCAAGCATTATCACTCTTGGGTTGATTTTCAAGAGCCTAGCTGGCACAGCATGCAAATTTGCCTTTAGAGTAGGAACTGGGAGCCATGGCAGAGAGGGAGAAAGGAATTATACAGAAACAGCTCTGGAGTTACTTCCCACACTTAATTCTACATTTCTACTGTGGTAGTGGGAGAGGGGAGAAGATGGGCAATCTACGAAGTTACCATTCTTTTCTAGTGTTTTGGCACTGATGAAATACCTCACTCACGGCAATTCTTCAAGCACAGAGTGTGCTTGAATTTCAAGCAACAATTCAAATGCCAGCTACTCACAGCAGTCCAGTTTTCACATGGTTTCTTTTTAGTCCTTCTTTGAAGGACATCAGAGAAGGGTTCACAGATGGATTCAACAAGAATGCATGAGATATCAGTGTACCTCTTATGGAAGGGGAATGACTTTTGAATGCTGAAGTCAAGTTCTTGCAAGACTAGCGACACACGCACAGATCAACAACGCAGGTGTACAGTGCAACTGCACTGTATTTCAGTTCACTGTTTACATGACTAGAACATACCTTTCACATGTGTAGCATTCACAGAATTCATTATTTTCTCCAAAAAACCCATCCCCGTAGTAACAAGAAATTTCTTCTCCAGGTTCAATATCGCGCAGAGCTTTCACACATGCTGTATCCCGGCCAGTTGACACAAACTATGAAGGGCAGTAAGGGACATGTAGTATTACTCAGTTAATCAAAAATAATTTTAAAACATCCATATATTTAAAAAGCTAGTTTGGAGGATTTTAAAACCCTGACCACATACCTTACAGTTGGGTCTGCAATCTGAAAAAAGTACAAAAGAAAATCAATTAACTGCTGATAAGACCTGGAACATGAATAGTTACAAATATCTAAAGTAAGGTTTCATACTAATTTACTTATGGTAATACTCAACTGAACAATTAGGTGTATCACTAAGTAAGAAAAATATTGCACATTTTAAAAGGGCATTAAAGGTAATCTAGATCATTCTAATAAAACACAGGAGAGAAATGTACTCCAAATCAAGAAATAAATTAAAAGTAGTCCTGAATATAACAATTAATCCCATTGTATTTTTTTTTTTACTTACCATGATTGATGAATGCAGCTGGACCAAGCCACAGTTGAGCACAATTCTTCCGTGTTGAGTACATGACACTGAAGTCATTCTCTCCATGTCTGAGCAGCATGTTCTCTTCTAATTCAGAGAGTTCAGCAATACAACCCACCAATAACTCTATTTTGTCATTTCGTTTCCTAACAAATGAAGGAAGAAACTCTTTAGTTAACAGAACAAACAATACATCTTATTAATGCAGTCTTTCTCCAGCATAAAAATATTTTAAAGGGATGAAATATAGTTGCATTCCGTACATTTGTTTGTTCACTTATCACCCTGGCTAGGCAAGGAAATATTTTTGATAACTTCTTATTAAAAAGCCAGGAGACTTTACATGGTATCTCTGAAGTGAAACAATTCCAACAACAGTCATATCTCTTGTTGCATTTGCTTCACGTTGTGGCTTTTTGGGTTGCGAACACGGCAAACCCGGAAGTGTATACTTCCAGGTTTCGCCGCACGCACGCAGAAGTGTTCTGCGTGCTTTGCACATGCGCAGAAGTGCTCTATCGCGCTCCATGCTTGCACAGAAGTGCCGCTCTAGTTGTGGACTTTTTGGGATGCGAATGGCACCCCGGAACGGATCGTGTCCACAACTAGACGTACCACTGTAATCAGCAGTTCACTGCACTTCTAGTACATGTCATATCCAACAGTAATTCAGCTTCCTACAATCCCCACAGAATGCTCCCCATCTGACCACACTGTGGTAAAGGAGAGCAGGTAAAGTTGGTCCAACTGGGCACTGGAATATGCTTCCAAAACGTGGATGGATGCATGCTTGATGGGGTGGGATCACTCAAAGAAATAAAAAAAGTAGCACTGAAGAAGAGATAGCAGATCTGAGGAACAATGGCTGCAAACAAACATTAAAAACTGGGGGGGGGGTAGAAAGCAAGTCCCCCACATTCTCCCCCATCAGCAAGTTTCATATCAGAAGTTGAACATCACAAGAACTTGGTGTAGCACTAATATTATTGCAATACTTGCCACTCTTTTGTTGCAACTATTTTGGCTCCATTTTGCTCTGATGAATACCGATTGCATGGCAATATTTCAAATCCACTGTCAGTTGCAAACATTCGTAAATAAATAAATACCTGTAAGGGGGGAAAGAAAAAATATTATACAGAACAGCTGCATTATTTGATGTGAATCAGTTGTTCCACATCTGGCAACTTGATTTCAAATGAGATTGGACAAGCACCAGAAGTTTTAAAATGGACCTCAAAAATATACTTATTCTGTGTTGCATTTATGGAACAATTTTTACTGGGTTGCAGAGATAGAATTGCTGCTTCTGTTATGTTATACAGTGGTACCTCAGTTTATGAACTTAACCCGTTCCGGAAGTCCGTCCTTAAACCAAAACTGTTCTTAAACCGAGGCGCCCTTTCCCTAATGAGGCCTTCTGCCGCCGGTGGTCTTCCACCATTCGGATACCATTCTTAGACCGAGGTAAAGTTCGTAAACCAGGACACTACTTCCGGTTTTGCGGAGTTCATAAACTGAATAGTTCGTAAACAGGGCTGTTCTTAAACCGAGGTACCACTGTATTGTTGTTTGATGAGTGTACAACAGGCACCCCAAACTCGGCCCTCCAGATGCTTTGGGACTACAATTCCCATCATCCCTGACCACTGGTCCTGTTAGTTAGGGATGATGGGAGTTATAGTTCCAAAACATCTGGAGGGCCGAGTTTTGGGATGCCTAGTGTACAAGCTTATTATTTTTATGTGGCCACCCCTCTCTCACAAACTCACTTCACATCAGTTTACACTAAAGAAAAATACAGGCTAAATATGGATTTCATAAATCAACCCCTTTAACATTGTCCTTAAATTCACTCAGTTGGCTGAAGCATGGTGCTGATAATGCCAACATTGCAAGTTTGATCCCCATATGGGACAGTTGCCTATTCCTGCATTGCAGAGTTTGGACTGAACGACCCTCAGGGCCCATTCCAACTCTACGGTTTTATGAAAAGTGCTATCTTTCACTCTTATGCTGAGAAAGGGAGGATGGAAAGTATCTTCGTAATTGAAGAGTTTGGCCTTCATTCTTGAATATCCTAGCCCAAGATATCCGAAGCTGGTTTAGTCTAGACATCAAGTACTGTACAACAATGAACTCTCCAGAGATCTATGGCTTGGAACTCAAATTCTATGCTTTAAAAAAAAAAAAGCTTCAATACAATACATTGAGTACTAGGTCTTATCTTTCTAAAGTACTTTCAGAGTTCCTCATTTTTCCCCTCAATTCAGTCTCCAGGCCTTTTAGTGGAAAACTTATCACCACCCCACTACAATACTTATAAATTTAGGGTGGCATTCAACTAGTTTTACTCACAGCAGATCCACTGAAATTAATGGGCTCACGTTCATTAATTTCAATGGGTGTACTCTGAGTAAAACCTACATAAATACCACCCATACCTTACTGACAAAGCAAAGTTGTAGCCTGATTATTTTAATGCACCAATTCAATGTCATATATACCTTCAGCTGGGGGCAGTGCAGACATAATCCCGGTGAACACTTAATCATGGTTAAACAATCGGCAGTGTTCAATCTGCACCTGCCTATAACTATGGAGGGCATTTACTAAATAATAAATTATTTCCTATTATTCCTTCTGAACAGTCTTTTCGACTGCATCTTTCTCCCATTGTTGGGCAAAAGATTCCTCCATTGCAGGGAGTTGGACTAGATGGCCCTCATGGTCCCTTCAAACTAGTGGCGTACCTACAGACCATTATAGCTTTGACTATGTTGGCCAGTTAAATATGGATAACAGTCTCCATAAATTTCCATTAAATTAATTTCTATCAATTTGATATTTTTTAAAAAAAAATCCAAAGCAGTATTTGCTGAAGCTAAAAGCAAGGGTAGACAACACAAGCAGTTTCAGTTGAGTAACATTCACAACACGTAAACCAAACACTAACTTGGACTTGGATTAAGTATAAATATACCTACATGTTCCTTGAACAATCTTTCCTGCATTTTGTTCTTGTTAAGAAAATAGTGCCGGGCCCAGTCACCTGATGTCAAGGACTTGAAGGCTTTTTCCAAGTGCTCATCTTTTTTAAAACGCTCAATCACCTCTTTCAATTCCTCCTGCCTTCCTTTTATTGGTCGAAATCTAAAAAGCAAGATATTAGTCATGTTTCGCTTACTTACTTTATATATGTCTAGAGCAATCACTGAGAGAGGGCCATAAATGAAAATGAACATTGCCATCAGCAGGCTCTACACAACTCTTGAGTATTAAAGGAAATAAATGTAACAGAAACACAGCTATTAGATTCCTTATTTACAGAGCTGTGGAGATGTTTATTTGGAATGTTGTATTCTAAGCAGCATACCTGGCAGCTGTTAACAGTTGGAAGTGTCCCATTAATGGGAATGATAAGAGTCTTTTCCTCTGAGGCACCTGCACTCATGTAGGAAGCCAGCTGTGCAGATGTAACATAGAGAACTTCGGTTATGGGGCGGCACAGAAATACCAAAATAAATAAACAAAACAAAACCAGTGCCAATTCTTGTCAGTCATGTTGTCTTGCATCAGAGCAGTGTAGACTGACATATCCCACACATCTGGGTTACAGGGATTAGAAGCACTGAAACAACACACTTCACCCTCAAAATTAAAAACCAACCCTTAAAGATGCTTAACACACAACACAGCTCTAAGTATTGAGTGGTGCTTCATTCCATGTAACATTGTTTTAAGAAATTACATTTCCAAGCAAGCAAAGCTGTAAACTGGGCATGGCCCCAATCTGTGCACAGATTGTTGTAAATTTGTATGGCATCATCCCCACAATCTATGACCATCTCAAGTATAATCTTAGAATGCAGACATAGCATTGCAGACCAATAGCCAAAAATGGTTACAAGCAAACAGGCACTCTGTCTCCCTCTTGACACCAGCAGTGGAATTCAAAAATCTTGTGCAACTGATTTGGTATTCTAGGCACAAATTCAAAACAATGGCCACATTTCTAAGGTATGTAGTCTGCCACAGGAAGATTCCCAAAACTCTTGCCCTCATTCCTTAGAAAAGTTATTTCTTCTAGTGAAAATCAGACAGTTTTGCTAACACAAGCAAAGAATAAACTGGATAAGTTCCTCAAGGACTACATTATTCAACAGTCTCAGGAATTACTTTGAGAGAGGAAAAGGAATGTATTGCTGAAATTTGTGCACACCAAGAAGTTAGGAAGTGCTGATCTTGGTCAGGATATGGCCCTATGAGATGATGCTAAAGGTAAATGCAGTCAATGAACACATTGGGGTGTAGTGTTTCCAGTAAGCATAGGGGAAGATCAGTATCCTTGCACAAGACACCGGGGAAGCCACACCTGGAATGCTGGAATATTGTTTAAAAATATCATCCTGTGTTGCTGTTGATTTTCAAATGTAAAGATGAATCACAAAAACAGCTATAGGAATGGGGATTTTATCTTTACAATTAAAGAACCTGGCCTGCTTAGGAGATCAGTGCTGGGGAAGTTTGAAAGAGACTTTCAAATATTTAACAGCAGTAACCGTTGGCCATGTTGTCAGGTATAAAAGTTATTGTCCTCCAAAATGTCTGGAGGGCATCAGATTGAGGAAAGCTAAAACCGAAGGTTAAGAAGAGTTTGGCTACAATAAATTATTACAAACTGGAACCTTAAGATTTCAGGTGGTAACAGGCAGGCATTGTCATTAGAAATACAAATGTCTAAAATTGCAACCATTAGAATAAAGGACTTACCTGGGTTCAAAATCTAGCAGTGTAAATCTATGAATATCTTGCAGTTTTATAGTCTAGTTTCCCTGTGTGAGCTACTGGAGTCAAGCCACCCAATCCAACATTTCTGCCAGAAGCATTAAGGCTGCAATCCTGCTGCAACTTTCTACAGAGCAAGTCCATGGAGCGAAATGTGATTTCCAAGTAAACATGCATAGGACTGCACTGCACAACTGCTAAACAAAATCATTTTCAATATACTCTTGAAGTCCCCCCCTTTGTCCTTCCCTTTTGTCATAGGCCATAGAAAAAAGTGTAAGTTCAAAATGTACAGAATACTTACATCAATCCTAGCCAAAAATCAAATATAACTACTATGTATTGAGAACAAATGCTTGATTTTAGAAGTACATATCCCAATACACAGAGTGACTTTAGATGTGGGTATGAAACCTTAAATATTTTCTAGTCTGGTGACAACAAATTTAGTATCAATTTTATTTGGGCTGAAAAACAAGTCAAAAGAGAGGAAGTGAAACTGTGTTCTAAACATTTTAAAGATATTTTATCAATGTCTGCTTTCAGTTAATGTTTGTATATAGGACAGTTTGAATTTAATAATTCTCTCATTTTTATAATTCTTAACATGTTCTTAAATATCTCTTGCAAAGCCTCATTTGCAAATGAGTGTTTCTTACTTGAAAATATCATGGTTTAAGTGCTAATAATAATAATAATAATAATTTATTTATACCCCGCCCATCTGGCTGGGTTTCCCCAGCCACTCTGGGCAGCTTCCAGCCGAATATTAAAAACAATACAGAGAGTATACAAAAGAACCCAATCTTGAGCTAAAAAAAATATGCATTCACCATGGACAAATAGCAATATGCTTTTCAGCCACTTGGAATTCTATGGAGTGTGTCTATAAGACATTCACCCATGCTTGTAACTTGATAATAATAAAAAAGTACAAGACTCCACTATTAATTGGCATCTTGAACCATACACCCAAGAGTATTTACTTCTTGCCAGTGCTGCTTCTAGATAGCTGTCTCTATACTAGTTACCGTATATCTGTCCAAAAGGGACTGGAAGCTGTGAACCAGCCAAAGCTGGAAATAGGCACCCCTAGTCACCCCTTTCCATCCATTTCACCTCAGATGATGACTTAGTCAGTCAGATGCAATGGTGCAGGAGAAGGTCCAGCTCTGTAAGAAGAGCTTGGAAATTGACTGAGAGCCAGTGAAACTGCTTCAGTGCTGGTATGAAACAATAGTGTCACAGCTCAGCCCCAGTTAGCAGTCAGGCAGCAGCATTCTGAACTAATTAAACTTTTTGAACTGTCTTCAATGGAAGGTATAGCTCATTACATTGTCCAACTCTCTGGTTATCAAAGATTCCCACAAGCAAAAGTACTGGTTTCCACACTGAACAAACAGGGGATAGAAAATTATTGGGGCTCTAGCCTGCATTTGCAGAGTTCTTGAGGTATTAAAAGAGAATAGCATTTTCCCCAGCAAGGTACTCTGGTAAAACCGTCAAGATCACTTGTAGTAAACACTTATTCTCAAAGTGATTATAGAAAAGTGACACATTATTTAAAAAGAGTCATGGCTGACTCTGGGGTCACACTAGGTAACACTAGCTCAAACAGCATTGACTAGAAGCATAATCAGAACACAAGAATGAGCTTTTGGGCAGAACACAGAAATACTTAAGCATCTTCCAAACTTATCAGAAAGAATTGATGGAGTGAGAAGAGAATTTATGACAAATAACTTGTTTTTTAAAAACTAGGGATTTCAGGGGCCTATTCCTCTTGAAATGTTAAACCATAACAACTGTTGAAAACCAGCAGCTTAGGAATCGTGATGGACCTTCACAGTTGTATTTCAGACTTTATTGGGATAGGCTCAGACTTTATTGGGATAGGGATTCAATGGCTCTCAGGATGCAAACAAGAAGTTATCCAGTTCAAGTGTATTCCCCAGCTCCAACTGTAAACAGGAGCACCCATTTTCACCCTGAATGAGTTATCCATCAATAATTACAAGCTACAACAAACCATACCACGGGGGAAAGAAACCTGTGGTCCATGGGATGTTGCTGGGCTGTAACTCCAGTCATCTCTCACCACAGGCCCCACTGGCTGAGGCCATTGCGAGATAGAGGCTGACAGTATCTCGAAGGCCACAGGTTCTCTAGCCTGCCATAGCAAGACGAGTCTAAGATGTCAGTCAAAGAAACAAGATTATGCTGCCAGTGTAAAGAAACACTTACAAACTGACTTAATGTGTGCTGCTTCTACACAAATGTTCAGCCGGTTATTAAAGAGCAAGGCATCAGACCTAGCTCCCTAGGACTACTTTACTTTCATAGCTTCAATTCAATGTTGACCTATGCCTCAAATTGTAAAGAAGTCAAAATGTATGTGTGGTTAGGCTGAGGACCAGCAAGTTGCTTTCTGCTGCAAAATTTGCCCTTATTTTACAATAAAAGTGAAAGTTGAAAATGTAATATTCTGAAAATCTCATCTCTAACTCATCTTCTTCTTACTGCAGTGGTTAATCTATCCCGACTCTCTCATGACCACTGTGTCAGAAACCATTACTGAACTAAATATATCAAAAACATCTCCAGCACAGGGATAGAGGAAGGAACTGAAGAGATTAATGAATATAGAGTGAATAAAGACTTCTCTTTTTTTAAAAAAAAAACAACAACTCTGTGATTGGATTCTTTTTTATAAACAGCTGAAATGTGTTCTTCAGAAATTCATTAATAATTTCATTTAGATGACAAGGTACACTGGCTCAGCTCACACAATCAAATCCTGGCTTAATAAGACAGAATACGCATGAGTTTCATAAACTTGCACACAACCCTTCTGGCTCCAGCTTTGTTTCTCCCTTCACATGAGCAGTGAAACACATCAGGAAGATGCAGTGAACTGTAATTGAAAGTTGCCTTTCAAATTCTGGCCTGTCTGGAAGCCATTAACCAAAGTTCCCACATAACAAGAAACTATAGTTAACGACAGTGTCCTGCTTTGTTTCCTCATTCGTGTGAAGGGTGAGGTGGGAGCAAACCGGCTGCTTGCGAGTGTGAGCAGCTCATGTATATCCCAGCTTATTAAACCAGGATTTGATCAAGCAGATGGGGATTCTATGTTCAAAAGACATCACTTTGGACAATTTTTGGTAGAACATTATCTTTTTTTGTAGAGCATTATCTTTAAGTAGGCTTATAGGTATTTTAAAGAGCAACCATTTTATGAATTAGAACATTTCCCCCACCAAGTCAAGAGGCAGGAAGATCCAGAATTGAAATATTTAAAGCAACATTCTTTTCAAGGGCTTATGAAAAATAACCTCCTATGATTCTATGAGTTTCAACCAGAAATAAGTTCTCCTAATACCTGAAGCCACCACAATCTGACAGATTATTCAAACTCAATTTAATGTGTGTCTAAGCAGAAAGATCTCATCTAATAAGGCCAGAGTAAAGGCAGCTACACAGAAACAAATCTCCAAGTTTCTTAGAATCCCCTCCCCACAGCAATCTCAAAACTCTACAGTGGCCTGCTCTATATGCCACATTAAGCTATTGTTTAAAACGAACTGTGGTTTAATGTGAAAATACATCTTACTGGCACATCCTACCCAAAAGTTCCTGGAGTGCTACCCAACTCCTGCCACATGACAGATAAAGTCAGTCAAAGTCTGGTTTATCGTGCCATCCAAACCTGGACTCATATAAGATTTTTCGAAACAAGCGACAAGCAGTAACCTAAGTTTTTTTGATTTACAATTCACAGGATTACATCCAACAAAGTTGCTCTGTAACCAGAAGGACTTCTGCCTGCACAATGGGACTGTGTTTCCCCCCACCCAAGACAAATCTGTTCTGAAGAGTCGGTCTTGTTTCATCTGTGGTGCACTTGCTGCACAGCATTCCAGAAGCTTCTAAGCTGTGTACACTTCTGAGCCAGTATGAAACGTTAAGTTCAGCAAGATGCTTTAGAGGTTGGCTATTAAAAGTGTTATTTATTATGCTGAAGACTGAGCTTGGTACCAGGACAGTAAACAGAAATGGAACCCACCTAACTAAAAAGTATATTGTGGCCTCAATAGTATACAGAAAAACAAGAAAAATGTGAATTATAACAAGAAAAGATTCCTACTACAAAATACAACAATAAATGGAGAACTCACATGTTCAATCTGCAAATCATATTACCTCAAACAAATCACCTAATAAAAGCTAATCCGAGTGATAAAAGGCAGCAATCAATCATTAAATGAGGATTGATAGTAATGGCTCTCCATGTTGTTAATGAGTGAGAAATCTAATCAGCACATGAATAGTAAGATGTGGGAACACTTATATAATGGTCTGGATAATTCAAAATTTTGGTAGCTGAATTTCTGTAGCTTTGGTTATAGGATTTAGCCTAAGGCATCACCTGGTGCAGACAATGGAGATTAAACAAAATATGAATGAATGAGTCTACTTGGCCAAACATTCTGGTCCAAGGGAATATTTGAAGCACAATTCCCAACACATTGTTTTATTTGCAAGTTTTTTTAAAAAAGCAAGCAGAATTTGAGAGCTCAGATCTACGTTTTTCTTTACTATTAATACACACAAGGCTTTATGTTTTCTAGATAGAGAAAGCAAAGCAAGTTACCTAGTGTTCATTTTATGTGTTTGAAAACCTAAATATGGATCAAGAACCAAACTAGTTGCTAGGTCATCGTTCTCACACAGCTCCTTGGCAGACATTCCAGAGGAAGGCACGTAGCGACTTTGGCCCTCAAATCCCGAACCACCACTACCTGCATAAATCAAAAGAAATATTAGTATTAGCCAAAATAGACTACTGACTCTTCTGGATCTTCCCCATTTAAGAGGCAATCCCATGAAGGACAACAACATGAGAAACAGCTTTGAGACCAATGCGATTTGTCCTAATATAGAAGTTCAAAGTGGAGGCAGTGTAAGGTGGAGGATGGGTCTCTGCTGTAGGACTCCAATTGCATCCTGTTTTTTTAATTTATAGTCTGTTTTTTTTAATACATCACTCTGACCTTGGGGAATTTAGAGTTTTAAATGTAACAAACGAGGCCCCTAAACTTCAGTTTATACCAATTTATACCACATGAAACTATTTGGTGACATAATGATTAATTCAGCATCACTGAATGTTCATAAAGAGCCACCAAATGACACTAGTCCTCTATCTTATTTGTATTTAACCAAATGACCAGTGGTGCCTTTCAGATGAAGCCTACATGTCATCCTAAATGCCCCCACAATACTTTTTGCAAGAGGTATATTGTATTTCATTTTATATTGGTCCTGCGTTGCACATTTCCAACTGAAGTGCACAATGTTTATTTAATCCTGAAAAGCTCAGGTTGGGAATATTTGCATATGCAAAATAAATGATAGAAATTGCCATGCATGCATTTAATTGGTATCCAAAGTCAATATTTGGGTTTTCAAAAGTTTTGATCTATTCTGGCAAAAACAGGGAACGAAGAAGACATCAGGGCCATACATTTGGAGCTGGTGAAATGAGTCGTGGAAGCTAACCAGAGAGCTAACAATGTTTTTTGTTGGTTAGTGAATGTTGAGTAGATAAAGACTTCAAATATTTTGAAGACACAATTTCTCAAACTGGCCTTATACTTCGCACATGCTTGGTTGACTGTGACATGCAGAAATTGCTTTTGGGCAAATCTTTCTCTATTTTAATGATAAAGAGCCACATAGTTATCTCACTTCCCTTCTAACATTAAACAACAGCTGCTTAAAATTAAAATATAATGGAAGCGCAGTTGGAAGCATCAGTAGTATAGCCCTACTTCACATAGCAGAGATATTTCCAATTGTATGCCAGTAGTTGACTTGCAGAAAAAAATGAAAAAACTGCTTATGCATTTGGTCAATGACGAGCATAATGAGGGAGCTGTGATCTCTTATGAGATTATGAATACTGCTCTGTGAAAGTGAAAAATCATGCAAGTAGACGATGTGCATGTCTTGCTTAAAATGTGACCATGTTGTCAAAATTTATTAGCAGAGGCCCTTCCAGCTTCAGATTAGGCCTGAAACATGAGACAGACCACCTGCTGTCCAGCATGGAGAACAGATATTGAGGAAGGATCCCTATCCCCTTTTTAAGGCTCTCAATTTCTAGGTTCTAAAAGTGCAAAAGGAAAAGCAGCCCATGCTGTAGGCAGATGGGAGCAGGGAAGCACAGGTGACCACCCTCTGAATAAATATTTGTACCACTGCTTTTTTAAAAAGTTAGAGCTATTAATTTCAGGCAGCCAAATTTTGTACCAATTTAAATTTGTAGTGGCACATGAAATACAAAGACTTGCATAATAAGAATGAATTACAAAGGATCTTTCTGTCAGTACTGTATAAAGATTATCTTTCAACACCATATACACATGCCTGAAGGTGGCAAACTTTTTTCTGTCATTAGTTGCATATGGCTATGCAATACCAAAAACCTTTTAGTAGTACAGTGTGTCTTGGGGCACAATGGTCAACCTTTTCCTTACATATGATAGAGCAGGATCATCAGATTTTTAATCTCAATTTTATCATTTTTATTAAGACATAAGTAAATCGAAATTAAACTGAATAAACACAAGGTCCTTGCAACTATTTCCATGAACGCCAAGACCACAATCCATATCCTTGTGAAGTAAACAACAAATCTCCCACTGATTTCATAGCTGTAGACTGCAGCATAATCCCTTGTTTTTCTGGGACACAACATAAATGTGGAAAAATTGAGGTATGCACAATTTTTCTGATAATTCACATTTAATATAGAAGAATATTCACATTAAGCATTTAGTGGGACTTAAGATTTATTTCAGAAATAAGAAAGAATTATTCAACCACATTAATCAGTCATGCAATAAAGCAATTTGTTAACCAGAAACAATGTAAATAGGTACAGAGAAAACAATATACTCAACAAATACATTTATTACATTAAAAATGCACACCACAATATTCCGTAAGGAAACAAGAAATTACAAATAATTAACTAGAGATCACTCCTATCACATTAGCATATACATACATCTGCTTGACCGTCTCTCAACGCCATTTTTGCCAGTCTTTGGATTTTCCTTTCCAGGGTGCTGCAATTTGGACTGGTTCTGATGGTGATCATTAGATAATCTGCTTCCATTTCTCCGGCCATTCACCACCATGTTCTTGGATTCTCCCAGCCACTTCATTCCCACAGGCAATTTGTCCCCGTTGCATTTAGTCCTTCTTCCAAAGGCTTTAAGAAGTTAATTGTAGTTCAGCTTCCTAGTAGAAACAGAATACACAATAGTCAAAAACTCTGCTGTGATGTATTTATTTATTTACTGCATATGCCTGATTGCCTAAAACTGACATATTGTGAGCAATGCACAGAATATTAGGTATTTGGAGTATGTAGAGACTGCTAAACACTTACTAATACCACAGCAGTGTACAACATTAAAACAAAAAGCAACAGAACATATAAAATACAGTTCTGAAAAAAATATACTCCACAAATACTGTCTGTGAATGAACTCATCTTTACAGGAACCCTAAATCCCTATTGGCTTAAAAGAAAACATGAGCTATTTGATCCCTATTGTACAGTGAACATACATACTTGTAAATTCAGTTCAAACTAGTCACTTTTCAACTACCACTACAATACATTTAAGTTGCCAGAGTTCTACAGTCGTAGCTTGGTTCTTGAACGCCTTGTGACTTGAAGGTTTTGGCTTCTGAATGCCACAAACCCAAAAGTGAGTGTTCCAGTTTGCAAACATTTTTAGGAAGCCGAATGTCTGATGCGGCTTCCGATTGAACTGAGAACCAAGGTACGACGGTATATTACAGTTGATGACCATTTCATGCAGGGGTTCCATTCCTGGCCTCATATAAGCACACCCTGCCTCATTCTCCCCTGTTCCACCCTTTTAGTGAAGTTTTAAGGTCACTTCCAGGTTTGGTGCTTATGTGCAATCGTGCAAAATTCGGATGTGTGTTAATCAGTCATTGTCTGTAATTCGTTTTCCAATAATACTACCTGATCTGGGGTTTGCTGTACTAACTCATGGAAGGGTCAACCACAAAGCTTAGACTAAGTGTTTGGAACATACAATAACAAAGTACCTTTTACTACCAGAGTAAGTCTCAGCTTTTAAAATCCAGTCTTGTAAATTAAGTTCAGAAAAGTTAGCAGTCCTTTACGGAAGACGGGGTTTTCCTTTCTCCATGACTAACATGTATAGCAGGTAGAGGAAGAACAGATTCCTCTGTCTTTCTCTCTTACCAGTTTACTGCATTTCCATGCAAGATGTGATGCATGCCTTCCTCCACAGACACCACAGTATTCAGAAGGCTGGTGGAGACAACAGAGTGATCTGTCTCTCTACTATCAACCTGCTCATTCAACTACATGGAAATCCATGCATTTCCCTGCATGAAATTCCTTACTGTGTAAAAGCTACCAGGCAAAAGCCTGTTTTAAATAACATGAAAGCAAAAGCTTTAATCGTGGTAACTCAATACACATAATTGCATTCATCTCTTTCAAATTACAAGCTGTTAACTACTGTTAGTCATTAAACTGACCACTGGTTTCACAATTGACAATAATACAGAGAGCAAGCAACTCAGTATTTTCCAGTTCCCAATGCTCACCTATATTCCATATGTTGATGAGAGTAACTGTTAGGCCTTAATTCTTTCATTTTTCTACTCTGAGGATTAAAAGCAACTCACAATTTACGAACATTTAAACTGTGTGCATTTAGCTTCGTGTGTTTAGCAAAAAAAATATGAAATAAATAAAAAAGGAGGAGGGAAGGGGGCAAGCGTCCAAGAAAAAAGTCTTTGGCAATCCCATCCGTCATCGAACCCAATACATTTTGACTATATGCAATTTTGGCTATCCCTGGAATGTAACCCCAGCATAAGTTCAGAGTCACCTGTATTATATCTTCTGGAATAACTTTTTGCAGCACTGGTTCAGTATGAGAAATCATAACAAGAAACTGACTTGAAAAAGATGATTCATTGCAAGTACATATCTGCAGAAATGTAACTGCACTTCCCACTAATTACATCTTTGTTAAAAGAGATAACAGTCTGAAACGCACACATCAGGATTCTTAGTACTCAAACACTTATCCTTTTTGTTGATTTGGTGAGGCACTCTCAAAGAAACAGGCAAAGGCAGTCCCTTTCAAGAGTGACTCCAGGCTGAATCTTGATTTACTGCCTTTCACCAGCTGAGTTGTAGGGAGCCTTATTCCATTGCCTGAACAGAAGGAAAAGAAACAAGCAATAGTCTGGTCTAATCCATTGTGGACCAGCTACCAAGAGATCCACTCCAAAGCAAAAAGTGAAGGCAAAGTTGGGGATGAGCTGAAGTCAGCAGCCACTGAATTCATTTAGAAAGCAGACAGGAACATAAAGGAGTATGAAGCAGGATACAGGAGCAGTATACTGCGATGTCAGCAGAGGGGACTGGATGCAAATACAAAGTTCAGGAAGAAAGTGTTGCAGAATTTGACAGGCCACCAAAGTAACCTATTGCTGTTCTGGAAGTACTCGGCAGTAGTCAGCATCAATGTTCTACTGGCAAAGCAGCTGTAAAGGCATTGTGGAGCAGAGGTATCTGTATCTAGATCAGTAGTTGAATAATGGTTGAATGTTCTGGGGAAGGGCATCAAGTAAATGCTCAGGTTAACTGTTCTTTAGCATACCCACATAACTGCCTTCAGTCTGGACAAGATGCTTCTGAGTGGGCATGCAAGCCTGTCCATCAAAGGCTGTCAGTGGTCCCAAGCATTTAATGCAGCAACATTGCTGAAACTGTGGATGTGGTCTCAATGAGTCCCTTTAATGGGAGACCACCAACAGCCCCATAGTAGAATGGGAAGTATATTAAATATTAAAACATGTTCAAAGTAATTTTTAACAGACATGAAAAACGTCCGTCATCTTGATGGTTAGGGGTGTTGAAGCTGTCTGAATGATGGATTGGCCGCAGTCTTACGGCAGTTTCTAGAACAACTGCCTAGCATTGGATGCTTGTCCTAGAATGAGAAGAAATGTTTCAGTTTTATGCAGAATTATTGTCTAGAAATGTGGATGTTGCTCATTCCTGAAGACACAAGAAAGCTGCACAATATTCTCCTGCCCCCCACTTTTCAGAGTACATGCACTGGACTCTTGTGTTGTATGCACCACTAGATGGGGTTTTTTTGGGGGGGTTTTCAGGAAACATTTTTTCCTATGAAATTATTAGCACTATTAGAGCTTTGAGTCCCAACTATTTTAAAAGGTCAAATTGATGGTGAGAGTCCACTGCTCTATGGGAGAGTATCTGGTCCTTTCCTCATCTAAAACTTATTACCTGCTTGGGTCACAGCAATCAATCAATCAATAGCTAGCTAGCTGGAAAGATTTTTTTAAAAAATGAATGGGCAAGACCTCATAATCACATTCCATTTTAACAGATCTAGATATCACCTGCTTACGTACCAAACTATCAAGATGGAGGGATGAAAGTCCTGGAAGGCATGCTTCCTAAAAACTCTTAGGTTTCTTCACTTTGACAAAATGTACTGGGCCAGTTTCATTTCCCCACCCATTTCTTTCAATTCCCCACAGAATTCTTCCAATACCGATTTCAGATTGTCAAAGAACATGTAGGTATTCCAGCTTTGAGGTCTTCCAAACAGCTACATGTTCTAATGCACAAATCCAGACTATTATAATTAGTATTACTTACTAATAGAGCAGTTTATCATTTTTATTATTCACTGGAGCCAACCATATCCCGATGGTTTGAGTGAACATAGAAGTATCAGTTAAAATAGCCATATCTTTATTGATATTAAAATTCCACTATGGAAGGTTATGAAAATTTTTAATTGTCTACACACCAACAGCTAATCAACTTTGTGTTTGAGAGAGAAGATAGTAGCTTACAAAATGATTTATAAGTTTAAAATAACTTTTCAGTTTGTCTACCACATATTATGGGATAATGGATTAATACAGTGGTACCTTGGTTTAAGAACAGATTAGTTTATGAACAACTTGGATTAAGAACGCTGCAAACCCGGAAGTAGGTGTTTTGGTTTGTGAACTTTGCCTTGGAAGTGGAACATGTTCCGCTTCCTGTTGAGTGTGTTCCATTTGTAAATTGAGTCCCACACTGCTATGGGAAAGCACACCTTAGTTTAAGAACGCTTTGGTTTAAGAACGGACTTCTGGAACGGATTAAGTTCGTAAACCAAGGTACCACTGTATTCATATGTAATAAAGGAAATGCACAGAACTGAATCCACTATTCCTTATCCACCATGGGGTTCATTATTATTTGAAGTATTTAATCCCAAATGAAAGAAAACTGCTAAAAGTTGTTGAATAAAGTCTGTCAAGGCTATTCGCTATGAGTATCTCAAAGGATCTAACAATCTAGGTAAGAGCAAAAAGCACCTGTAGCGTCTGGAGCGCCCCTCCCAGGGAGCAAACATTGCACTTTGGAAAACTGTGATTTGAATACTAAGTATCACAGTATTTACATTATTTGCTAACTTTTTTAGTCTGATGTATTGTACCAAACACCAGTGGTTGCAAAATTGATGGGGACAGGCTATTAATAGCAACCTATTTTAAAGGTTCATCAGAAGCAGAATAAATTGTTTAAACTAAAACATATACATCAGCCCAGGTATCCTAAGCCATCCAATAAATACAAACAAAAATGATCCTACCATTTTGTACAAAAAAAAATTGCTTCAGTACCACAGAGCACAGTCCTAGCACCAGAGTTGGTTTAGAACAGGATTCTGTACTCAAGTGTAATCAAAACGTTTACAGCTTCTGTTCATCACAGTATTGCAGGTGCTTTCAAACTCTGCTAGTGACTCTTACGTATTCAAACCGTACTAGGAATAAAAGGGAGGGGGCAAAGACTGGAAGTTCAACATGTAGCATTCATTTCAGGTCTAAGCTAAACGAAAGGAAAGGGGGGGGGGAAGGAAGGGAAGCAGACTATAGGTCAAAGAGAGTATACATGGAAACAAGGATCTCATTAAAACAGGAACAAGTATTCCACTGATCCCTATAATCCAAGCGCGGACGTTATTTACCCATACTCAATTACTTTCAGTTGAATACCCATTCTGTCCTAATATCCTTTTTACTTAAAACTGAATTGCTGTGGAAGTCTACCTTCAAGTTCAGGAAGATAAAGAATCACAAGATCTGTCCCTTTGACCAGCTTTTTTCACTTGAGGTTGCCAATGACTCGATATTAAGATGAAGTCAGTGCAATTTAATTACATCATCAATGGCTCAGAATCTTTATAAGAAGACGACTTATAAACCTTGCAAGAAAAACTACTTACTACAACTGCAACTTGCATACATTTATTGTTGGAAGCAAGGGCCACTGATTTTAAATGCAATTAATTGCAGATAGCTCAATTCTGTAAAATGCTGCACCAGTTTATTTCGTTTATGTCCAATCCTGTATGCGTACCCGTGTACTCCAGAAAATTACAAAGCTGACCTACATGAAGCAGAAAACACCTCTTGACCCAGACCCAGGTCAGCCCAAAGTGATTAACCAAGATGTTTTCCACTTCAAATAGATCAATCCTGCAACTCGCCAGCAAAGTGATAGAGCTGACATGATGCACAAACTGATTGCACTAAATGTAAGGTTGTAACTGGGGTATTTTGCCAGAATCACATCAGCAATAGATAATGCACTTTTGCGCAATCCCATGGGTTAATAGGTATAACAGAGTAGTGCTCTGTCGATACATCACAATGACTGTTTCACACATTTATTTGATCAGAATAAAAAATATTAGAATCATGAAATACCGTATTTTTTGCTCTATAAGACTCACTTTTTCCCTCCTAAAAAGTAAGGGGAAATGTGTGTGCGTCTTATGGAGTGAATGCAGGCTGCGCAGCTATCCCAGAAGCCAGAACAGCAAGAGGGATTGCTGCTTTCACAGTGTAGCGATCCTTCTTGCTGTTCTGGCTTCTGAGATTCAGAATATTTTTTTTCTTGTTTTCCTCCTCCAAAAACTAGGTGCGTCTTGTGGTCTGGTGCGTCTTATAGAGCGAAAAATACGGTAATATGGAGAATTTACAATTTAGACACCAAAATATCACCTAGTGGCTAGAATTAAATTAATTTTTTTTAATGAATTAATTGAATTTTTATTTAATCCCTAAATTTAGAATCATCTAATTCTAGGACCTTAGACATTAATGATAATTCATAAAGTTTATTAATCTAGTCATTTACTAAAGGTAGTTTGGAAGCTGTCCATTTTTGGCACAAACAAACAAACAAACTACAGGACAAAAGTTTGGTGTATTTTTTCTGTTTTTATGTTATTAGGCTCACTTTAGACAGGTACCAAATACAACTACAACGTAAGTTCTAAAACAGCACAGAATAAAAAAAACCTGCACACGAAGTGACTTACAGAGATTCAAAAATGAGTTTAAGAAGGCTGTCCTAATCCCTGACAGGCAACAGCATGGCTATGTGAAGTGGCACCAAAAACCACTGCATCCACAGCCCTGTTGCTCACATTAACCAGGGTGGAACGTGTGGGAAGGGAAAACTGCCCCTATGCTCTGCCATCTTCCAGACTGGCACAGCAAAGGAGTTGGATTGAGCAATTCCACTACTGTCATTTGATGCTAGCAGGGATAGGTCCTGTGACAGTCCTGCCTCTGCCCCTTTCTGTCTCTGAAATGCCCAATTTCAGGTGTTTCCTCTGGCTACCGCTGGAAGGGGTATTATCAGTGGTTGCTTATACCCACCCTTTGGGAAATTTGGGCACTCCTTGCCAGTTGCCAGCAGGGCTGCCCCAGTGACAGAACAGGGAAGGGCTGGGCAGTGGCAACTTTGCTCCATCCAAACCCTCTCCAGCACAGAAGACTGGGGTTTTGGAATGCTCTGCCAATTAGGTTTTGCTACTTTCTTTTAAGTTTTATTTAACTAATACCTCATGAAATGTTATCTACATAGTCAAATCACACAGTTCAAGACACATCCAACTCAAGAAAAAGCTTCTTAAATTCACTAATATGCAATAAAGCATTTAAGAATGCATCCTAGACAGGTTTTTACTTTAAGCATACAAAGAAGTGCCTCCTACATTTCCAATGAATTGGCATGAAAAACAAATGCAAAATATAACTTCTGTTATGATACACCATGAACAAACATTTGTCCACAACAATGGTGGATATACTGTGCTACTATATTATTTAAATGACTAAGGTAAGCAAGGGAAAGGAGTCAATACTGAGACCTAAACAAATGCAGACAATATAGAAGTAGTCTGTCAAATTTATGGCAAGCTACTTCAACGAAATACTTTTCCAGTTCTCCACAGCTCAAAAGGGTGTATACTTGTAATGGGTTCTAATGAAAGATATCACCGTATCTGTTTTGCATCCCTTCAACACTGCTCTCACAAAGAGCAGATGGTCTGAAATCTATCTAGGCTTCATCATTTCAGTAGGTGGGATTCATGTGATTGAATACTGCTCTATTGAATTGCCTAGGCATAGAAACTAGGAAGGTCAGAGAGGATTCTAGCCTAACCTCTCCCTAGTATTCTAGTCTTCTGTGTGTAGGCAATAATTCTACCATGTGGGACCCACCTGCAGCCTTCAATAGCTGTTTGTAAGAAACAGTTCTGAGAACAATATATATAGGAGCGGTTTTCAAACCTACAGGGGCACTTTCTGTATTGACATCAGCAAGAAATCCCTGTGCATTGCAAATATTCAGCCTAATGGACAACATCATTGCCTTGCATGAACTGACTGAAGAACACAGCCAGCAGTCCCATGCAGCTCTATACTGCAGGGCAACAGTGGTTGGGAAAGAGATTTATTAGGAAAGTCTGCTTGTGATCCCAATTAGCTTTTGAGAATGCTAAGATATCCATGAACAGAGTATAAAAATAATCAAACCACTCTACTCCCCATCACCTAGATCTCAGAACTTGCTTGTTCAAGCAAAAGGCAAGAACATAATTTCCCACCAGTAACTCTATCAATTGCTTACCGATACTTCCTTCTGTTTCAAAACAACAATGTTCTTTAAAACAAGCATTTTCGTGGAAAGAAAAAAGTGCTGTCTCAGGTGAGCAGGGCTGGGGAACCTGGGGCCCTGCAAATGTTCTTGGACTCTAATTCCTTAGCCTCAGCTAGCATGGTCTGTGGTCAAGGAAGATGATGGAAGTTGTAGTCCAGGAACATCTAGAGGGCTGCATATTCCATACCCCTGTAGGAGATTACTGATCATATTGTATTTAGAAGAAACTGGGTTCATTTTACATATGAAAAAAAACTAAAAATCATCAACAAAAAATCATGGAATAGGGATTCAGTCAATAATTAAAAGACACTCTTTTATATTCATTCTTCAGTGATCAGGTGTGGCGGAAAAGCCAAAACACGTTTCCTAGTTTAATAAGCATTTCTGCACACAGCTTTGTTCGAATCTCATGCAAAGCGAAACTAGCCGGCAAATCCTGACAGCTGACAGGATTAGAACAAACTTCTTTTGCAGCTCAGCTGGATCAGGGAGGTAAGTCTATTCTACTTTCCGACCCTTAGATGAAACTACGGTGCCCCCTAGAGGTCGCTTCTCGCCTTCTTCATGGGCCGGGAGCAATGCTCCTCCACTCAAGACAGCCCTGCCCGATCCAGTCACATCTGCTTTCCGTGTCGGGCACCGCTCCCCAACCCCAGCTCAAACGCTGGGAAAACGAAACACCCAGGATCAAGCTGCCTTTCCGCCACCCATCACAGAAATCCCGTGCCAGCTCCACCTCTCCGAAGATCCGCATCCCCTTAAACGCCGAAGCAGCGCAGCAGGAGGAGGAGGGATGCCAGCTGTCACAGCCAACCGGGAGATGGGTGTGTTGCGGGTCTCACAGCCACTGGTGGCCCAGCGCCGCTTTCTGCGGGTGCTTCTAAAACCTAAATAGCCTAAGTGGCCCGTCCGATCTTCGGGGGTGGCTCCCCTTCCCCTTCCAGACCCATAAAAGCGGTCCGAAGGCGCCCCGTGCGCAATAACATCTCGGGAAGCCAAGCAGAGGCCTAGGCCTGGATGGGGGAGTCACTTAGGAACCTCCAAGAATATGACACTCTAGAGTTCAATGGAAATGCGGACGCAGCGGGCAGGTGTGCGATGAGCAGCACCTGGTGCCAGATCCCCGCTAAGGGGGGGAGATGCTCGGAGCACCTCGTCCTAGGCTGGACAGCTGCCCGACTGCTTCCCCAGGTGCTCTTGGTGGCCTTTCCCAAGTGCTGACACGACCCTCTCCGCCACCTCCAAGGAAAGGCTGCCCGGCTCTTCCTGCCTGCCCCGGCCATCCCCATCGCCTCCTTCGCCGCCCGCCCTTACAGCCCCACCGTATTGTCCTCATCTATGGGCGCCGGAGGGGGGACGAAGCGCACGATGCCATCTCTTTATTTGATGCCCTTTAGAGAAACGAAGCCCCTCCCCACATTTCTGCCCCCGAAGACCCTCGTCGTCTCCGTCACGAGAAGCAGGTCCCCCCCCCCACACACTTCGCCAACGGGTCGTCGCCCCACCTCGGGCCCTGCCCAGCCTGAGGGGGCCTCGCTTCCATCCCGCCCCCTCCCCGGAAGGAGTGGGGCCCTCGCCGCCGCCGTGCCAGTTCCAGGACACCCCCCAACACACACACATACACACACACCTCCGTCCCCTCCCCTCGTTCCGCCTCCGCCAAGCACTCACCTCCTAGCTGCCCCTGGGCACTGCAGTCCTCTTCGCCAGCCGCGGCCCCGCAGGTCCACAAAGCCTCCGCCGCCGCCGTCCAGAATCTCGGCCAGAGGCGGAAAAAAATAATCATCTATATATATAAAAATAATAATTCCAAGGGGAAAAATGGCGGATTAAAATCCAAGATGGCGGCGGCGAGGGCGAACGATATCTGGGAAAGCTACCTAGAGATCCATCCGCCAGGCCCCGAGAGAAAAAGTCCTCGAGTCCCCTCACGACGACCCTGCGGCGCAGCAACAACAAACCCAGGCACGGTCCTTCCTTCCGCGAGGAACACCGGGCGCCCCGAGCCAGACCCACTGAGGCAAATCCTCGCTGCGCGCTGAAGTCTTTTGTCTTCCTTCCAGACCCCCTGTTTTCCTCGCACAGCCAGAAGAAGCGCCTCCTGCTTGTGTGCTCCAAAAGCGGCGGAGGGACACGGCAGGCTGGGCGAAGACCTCCTTGCGAGAGAGCGGAGGAATACGCCGCCAAAGAGATTCTTACCTTAGCGTTTTAACTCCACAGGCCGAGCGAGGTACAGCAACCCATCCCCGTTCGCCTCTGCAGTTTCTACACCTCTCCCCGCCGCGGAAGGACACCATGAAGGCCGTTTGCACGCTTACTCGCAAGATTCGGTGCGGAGGGATACACATATAAACAAGGCCTACTCAGTAATAGTTTGAGAACCCGAAAGAAACCATTAAAAAAAATCAATCCGCCCCTTTCCCCGCAGCCCTTTAAATAAGCTGGAGCCTCAAGCGAAGACTGTCAGGGCAGTTTGAGTTGAGTGTAGATTTGGTGGGTCGTCATACGGCAGGCTACCTAATAATCCTTGCGCGTTGTAACTAGCCAAGCCGAACGTGGCTCACCGGTCATGTTATGGCCCACCAGGAACTCGACATGCCTTTGATTTTTGCTGCCAGAAATGGGGTTGTCAAGTCCCTAGATAAGCTGAAGATACGACATGATTGATGGGCTCCGTTTGATTTGGGGGCAAGGTGTCCCGCGTTGTGTAGACCTGCGTTACTGTGTCCTGATACAGACCCGCTCCCCCTCCTGACTTCCATCACCAGCTTGGGTGGGGTTTAAAAATCTCCATGACTCCCCCACCCCCAGCTCATCGGGGGCTTTTCTGCTTCATAGGGTCTCCCCTTCTTTTCCTTGTCCTATCAAGTTCATCGAGCAAAAGGGAAGGTGACAGGCATTAGGGTGCTTGTCATCTGGGGAGTCGGGTCTATGCTGTCAGTATGCAAAGCAGCATTTTAAATAAACGCCTCGTGGAAAAAGAATTATTCACACCACTTTGGGTGTCAAGAGTAAAAATGACTCCCTGTAAATAGGAAGGACCTCGACTGTGCCCTGCTAACACGCCGTGTGCTGTTTGGTGCTACAGTGTTTATAGGCTTCACAAGAGAATATAGCAGCAAGGTGTCCTGCGAACAAATGCCCTTAAAATGAGAGACGAATTCCTTTACTTGCTCTACCCAAGTCCTTCAGTGTGCCTTGAGGGCTACATTTAAAGGGCCTGGCCAGCGTTGATTTGATCGTTAGCATTTGCAAGAGAAAAATGGAAGGTTTTATCTTATCTCTTCCCCTTTCATTGCCATAGATGTGGAAGTCGTCTAGTCGCCGTTTGCAAGCAATTTTGATGCCTCCGAAAGAAAAAGGAAATTAGCTTTTTGCTATGTTCATTTTAACGTCTGAAGCAGTGAAACTTAGATCGTAGCAGCTACTTCCGTGTTTAGGGGGGGGAATGTATCTTGCAGTTCTGATCGCGGAAGTAGCAGCTGCAATATTCCCGTGTGTCCTCACGTCAAACTGTTCATGCAAGTAGGCCTCTTGTGTGAGCAAGTTACTCGCAGATCAGCTGGCTGAGCTAATATAAGCGCCGGCAAGCACTTTGTTTTCTCCTTTCTAAACCCTGTCTAGAGCCCAACAGCATTTCCTCAAGCATTCTCTCCCCCTCCCCTTTCTGTTGTGTATTGAGAAAGAGGGAGGGCATTATGGTAGAGACATTGCTTTTAATTGCTTCATATTAACATATGAATCAAATAAGATCAATGGTGTGGAATGTGAGGAAAATTTGAACATTCTCCCCATAAGTTCCCAAGGTCATATGTCAAGAGCACAATTTTACAAATCTTTCAGTATAACTTTCTTTCTAGATTTTACCTGTTGAATTAAAAAGCAAAACAAAAAAAAACCTTTGGCCTTATGACCACTTTCTCTTCTAATAAGCCACTAACCCTGGGGAAGCAAACTTAAAAACAAACAAACTTCCTTTACTCTAGTGGTACCTTTAAGGGCAGCTTGATATACAGAAATGTAACCAGTGAAGCTTTTTCCTACATAAAGAAAGAATAATCCTGGGAAAAGCTTCATCTGATACATTGTCTGTCACATTGATATTAAAGGCACAGAAGGAGAGCTGGGGTTTGGTGGGTATGGCAGGTCCACTCAAAACACTGCAGTACAGTATATATAACACAAAGTCAGGGGCGTGAGTGTTACAGTGTAAGTTACTCAGTTGCACATATAGCAGGCTGCCTAAACTAGTGTGCAGTAACACTAAGTGTGACAATAGGCAACATGAACTCAGATGCATGTGTGTGTTTTAATGCTGTTAGTGCCCTGATGGATTATGCATTGCATTAACCCACTTCCTATGGATTACCCTGAATTGCCCCAAACAAATAGAGCAGTGCAATGACCCTTGGTCATAATTTTGCAACGTGAAATGGAAACAAGAAGAGGATAACCAGTACAACCCAACTCAAACTTGCATCTTTCATGAAGAGACCTACTGCTGATGTATAATTGTTCTTGTAAAACAGAGGTTTCAGAATTTCTACCTTCAAAACACCATCTCCACATAATCTCAACTCAAGAGAACTGGACTACCATAAATTGTGGCACAAGCAACTGTTTCCATAGCATTGAGAATCTTTATAGTACAGCAGTTCACATACAATACTTGCTATGGTTCTGTTGTCTGGCAAACAGAGGCCCTGTTCTGCTGCACATTCTTAACACACCAATGTATTATTTAGGCTACCTCCCCACAAAGCCAAACAAGTATACTCCTCCATTGGGTGTCTTCCCATTTAGTCATGGAAAGCTGCTTCATGATGACGTTGGATATTAGTCGACATCTGGCTACAGGAAGCAATTCCCCTGTTGCTCCTATAGGATGTTCTGCAGAGAAATCCTATATGGATAGTCCATCTCTGTGGAACTTTAAGCTCTGTTCTTTTGACTCACCATCTTTTGATGAGCCTACTGGGATATGAGTCTTTGATGGTAGGAGCTTCCTAGTCCTCAAGGCTGGCTGCTAGTTCAGAGGGAAGACACATCCTTCAAGGAGCTAGTGGTGGTTCTACCTCAGGGTTGGTTAAGCTCATTACACCCACTTAGCTGGATCTGCACCCTCTCCAACTGGGTACAGTAATTAATTGCTTCATGTGCATTCACACACATTCTGCTGCTAGTTTCTGTGAGTTTACAATCAGGAAATGAAAATAGTATTGAGCTAATCTCTGGTCCCAAGAATAGGAGAGACAACCGTTTCTCATTTGTTTATGTTTATGTTTTAAAGGTTCATTGTCATTGACATTTGCACACAGAAAATAAGAACAAGTGACAAATACAAAAATGCTTGAAGACAGTTGTTGAAATGTATTGCATTTATTTAAAAACAGCATCAGAGTTTACAGATGATCAATACTAGATGGCATTCTCTTAAAAATAAATGCCTGTAATTCATTTGAGGGCTCTACCGATGTGATAAGTTGCTAATATGCAGGCAACGTAATTTGTTAACAGCTGGAACCATCCTATGGGGAAGTACTCCATTGTATTATATCAGGCACTGGAAAGTGATCTTAATAAAATATGGAAATATTTCAATATAACCTTTTGAATGTGTTGATCTTTCACATGTTCCACAATACAGCCTTTTAAATATGTGGATTTTGCACTGAGGTAATATCTCCAGAGAACGGATGCCTTCTTTTCTCAAAGCAAACAACAGCAACAGCAACCCAAATATCTTCTCGCATCCGCCAATATATGTCCATTTCCCTCTTTTCAAATGGTGTTTAAGAGCTGTGACTACTTAAATAAATAAGTTGTAGTATTTTCTCCCCACTCTTTACGTGAAAAAGCTCCTATAGCAGCTTATGTAAGACAGTCCCTGCCCTCCAGCCGGCTTGCAATCTAAAAGGCAGGACACAAAAAGAAAAGGGGACCAGGAGGAAAGAAGAAAACAAGCACATTCAGGCAGCAGTTCTTAAAGTTACAAAGCTCTTATAATGTCTAGCTGGAATTGATATGATTAGAAGGGACCAGTTGGTAAAAGGTATACAGATCGGAGCCAAACAGTACAAATTGAGAGCATTTGCAGATGACTTAGTATTGACGTTACAGGAGCCAGAATCTAGTACCAAAAGGGTTTTAGAACTGATTCAAGAATTTGGTCAAGTAGCAGGATTTAAATTGAACAAGTCAAAAACTAAGGTTTTAGAGAAAAATTTAGCACCGATTGAAAGAGAGAGGTTTCAGAATGAGACAGGTTTAACAGTGGTTAAGAAAGTTAAATACCTGGGGATTAACATGACAGCAAAAAAATGGGAATTTATTTAAAGACAACTATGAAAAATGTTGGGCTGAAGTGAAAAAAGATTTAGAAATTTGGTCAAATTTGAAGCTTTCACTGCTGGGCCGTATTGCTGCGATAAAAATGAATGTATTGCCTAGAATGTTGTTTCTGTTTCAAACTTTGCAAATTGTGGACAAAATGGATTGTTTCAAGAGGTGGCAGAAAGATATTTCTAGATTTGTCTGGCAGGGCAAGAAGCCCAGAATAAAATTTAAAATACTAACGGATGCAAAGGAAAGAGGTGGATTTGCCCTGCCAGACCTCAAACTTTACTATGAATCAGCAGCTTTTTGCTGGTTGAAAGAATGGCTACTTCTTGAAAACACTGACATTTTGGACCTAGAAGGTTTTAACAATGTATTTGGATGGCATGCATATCTATGGTATGATAAGGTCAAAGCACATAAAGCATTTAAAAACCACATTGTCAGGAAAGCCCTGTTTAATGTTTGGATAAGATATAAGGATTTGTTGGAAAACAGAACCCCAAGGTGGCTGTCACCAATGGAAGCGAAAGCCTTGAAAAAGCTCAATATGGAGGTCAAATGGCCGAAATATTGGGAAATTTTGGAACAAGATGGAGATAGACTGAAACTGCAGAGCTTTGAAAAATTAAAAAACAAAGTGCAAGACTGGCTTCATTATTTTCAGATAATGGAGGCATTTAAATTGGACAAGAAAATTGGCTTCCAGGTGGAAAAATCAAAATTAGAAACTGAACTGTTAGAACCCAAAACTAAGAATTTGTCAAGAATGTATAACTTGCTGCTGAAATGGAATACTCAGGATGAAACGGTAAAATCGGCTATGATTAAATGGGCACAAGACGTTGGACATAACATTATGTTCGCTGACTGGGAACAGTTGTGGACCACAGGTATGAAATTTACGGCATGTAATGCCTTAAGAAGAATATTATGAAAATGATATACAGGTGGTACATAACCCCAGTCAAGCTTGCAAAAATCTATCATTTGCCCGATAATAAATGTTGGAAATGTAAAGAAACTGAAGGTACATTTTTTCACCTTTGGTGGACGTGCCCAAAGATTAAGGCTTTCTGGGAAATGATATATAATGAATTAAAAAAGGTATTCAAATATACCTTTCCCAAGAAACCAGAGGCCTTTCTCCTGGGCATGGTTGGCCAAATGGTGATAAAAAAGGATAGAACTTTCTTTATGTATGCAACAACAGCAGCAAGAATACTTATTGCAAAGTATTGGAAGACACAAGAACTTCCCACACTGGAGGAATGGCAGATGAAACTAATGGACTATATGGAACTGGCTGAAATGACTGGTAGAATCCGTGACCAGGGAGAAGAGTCGGTGGAGGAAGATTGGAAGAAATTCAAAGATTATCTACAGAAACACTGTAAAATTAAAGAATGTTAGAGTGATGTTGGATTGAAAATGAGTGGTTTCCAGCTGTACAAGATTTAAAGTTATAGATAAACTAAGATTAAGGATTAGGATTAAAGAAGTTTAAGGAAATGGAAATTTGGCTTTTAAGAGGTAAATTTTAATGTTATATTATATTAAGATTAAAGATTGGGATTAAAAAAGAGGGAAAGAAATTGCTGGACAAACAATTTGAACTGGAATGCAAAGGAGGGAGGTATGAGGAGGTCCAGAAAATAAGTAAATTTAAAGATGGAAACGAAAAGGTGATATTGTTTTTAACTGTTCTTTCTGTCTTGTATTTTGTTTTTTCTTTGTTCTTTTTTTTCTTTTTTCTTTTTGGACTATGTACTGTGTTTTTTTTGAACTGTGTATTTTTCGTTTATGTTTTTCCGTTTAATCTTTTATTGAAACCTTAATAAATATCATTTTAAAAAATATATATAATGTCTAGCTGGAATTGAAACAGTTCAGGGAGAAAAAGGCAAAGTGAGTTGGTCTTTCAGCAGAGATGTAGGAGCAGGTCTTGTTTCCCTAGTTTTCCCTCTGTTTATGCTGCAGACTTCCAAAATTGAATGTAGATAGATAGGTTGACTACAGCTGCTGTCACACACCACATATTTAATTGAAAGCTGCAACAGTCTGATGAGGAAGAAGAGAACAGCTAGTATTGAGGTGGGGAAAAGGTTCATTCCCCCAAACTAGCAGTAAGCAGGAAATCTACAATATCTGTACACATGCACCTATTTCACAACTTTTCCATGGAAAAAACTCAAAGGTCTTAGTGGCTCAGCTGTGACTGGACAAGGGGAGGGAAGGGTTACTCTGACAATAGCAGTTCAGCATATGGATTATTATTATTTTTAACCCCCTGCAATTAACCTTCAATAGACAGTCACCACCCACTGTATTTTTTCTGGATATGCATCCTCCAGCTAAGCCTTACTATACAATGACTTGACAGGTCTCAACTGGCCAAGCTTTTGTATTGGAAGTTTGGAGTCACTAGGGAAGTGGAACTAGTGGCCACTGAAGAGACTGTCTCTGTTCCTTTTGGAAATCATGCTGCACAATCCTCTAATGCAATAATCAAAAATCTATCCACAAGTTAATTCTGTTGTCACTTGCATGGAATCCAAAGCATGAAAATATGTCTGCTTCAGGATGAACTGTTAGTCAGACTTTTGAATTGCCCTTTCTCCCTCATCATTGAATCTTGACATAAATATCTTCAAGCAGCTCTTACTGATGCACTTGATATTTTAATTGGCTTCATTGTAATACTATGTTTTTTGTCTTTATAGTGCCTTGTGATGTTTTATAAGAAAGTGTAGCTTATCAATATTTTAAATAAATAAAAAATGTCATTTTTTTAAAAAGCTCTTTGCTGATTATGAAATTGTCTTCCAGGGATCATGGGGAAATAATTAGTACAGCAATCATGTGACCAAAATGAAGGCCTGATCATGTGGTAATATTACTCACAAGTATTTCATAGCTGGAGTTCTAGAAATTTCCCATTATTTCTTTACACAGGTGAACACTACTCACTCTAAGCGGTTGGGTCATCAAATGCCAGCCTCTCTTACATCATACCATCATGACTGTCAACAAGCAGCTCTGAGAAAGCTCTTTTGATGAAGTAATTCTTTCCAGAGCCAGCCTTCTTTGGCAGTGTGCACATTTGAAACACAAGATCTCTGAACCTCACAGTTCTCCCCGAGGCCTTTGTCAAATGTTGTGATAATATTAAAATATGGTACAAAGTTTTATTCAAAACAAGCTCATCCTCGTTTGGAGTTATATAAACCAGTTGACTATATTGTCTTTGGTGCTAGCTGTGGTTGTACCTTGTCTCTAAACCAATTCTTGCTGTTTTTACTCCTTGTTCCTTTTCTCACTAAGTGGTCAGTTTTGTCTTTTGGAGATTTCGTATAAAGAGAACTCACTTATGGCAATGATGGAGATAAAGGAGCTAATTTGCTCTCTCTTCATCACATTGATCATTCTGCCACTTCCTCCCTGTCTTGTTAGGACCACATACCATGCTGTCACTTCCTATAAAGTGACATTTATTTCTTGCTCAGTTACCACATGCCAGATGTGGAGGTATTTATCACTATTCCATTCACACTTTTCTTGTAAGTTAGTTCTGACTAAGAGCAGTGTGCTGAAAAAGAGAGGGCTCCTACACCTTTAATAGAAAATAGGTTATTTCAGCACATGTCTTAAAGGTAAAGGAGCATCTCACCTTTTTCACCTGGCTATCGTAGTTATTACCCTTCCTCAGCTGCATTTTGCAATACTGACAGTGGAATCATGCACATACCTTCTCGCAAGTAAGTCCCACTGAGTTCAATGGGACTTACTTCCAGGTAGGTGTGAACAGAATTGCAGTCGCAAAAGGTCCAAAACAAAATACAGTGGTACCTTGGGTTAAGAACTTAATTCATTCTGGAGGTCCGTTCTTAACCTGAAACTGTTCTTAACCTGAAGCACCACTTTAGCTAATGGGGCCTCCCGCTGCCGCCACGCCGCAGCTGCGTGATTTCTGTTCTCATCCTGAAGCAAAGTTCTTACCCAAGGTACTATTTCTGGGTTAACGGAGTCTGTAACCTGAAGCGTATGTAACCCGAGGTACCACTGTAGTTACTTACTATGAGAGAGTGATAAGGAACTCTCTCTCTGGAATAGGCAGCCTGTAACAACAACTACCCTGGTTGTGGAACTGGGAAAGTTTGAAACTTTCTCTCATGATAGCCACCTACTGAAGTGACACAATTTATCTATTCAAACTAATGGGTATA